AAACTTCGATATTTTCTGACTCTATAACTGCTAATATCGATCACTGGCAACCGTTTCTTAGGATGTCACGCGACGCACTTCTTTAGCACGTTATGTGACAGATATGATGTTTTGTCGCATCTTTTCGTTTGGAGTAGAGAGCGCAACTATGTCTTATTCGCTCAACCTCTTCCCATTTCCTTGGATAGAGTTATTAAATGAGATATAAACTTCGATATTTTCAGATTTTATATCTGCCAGTTTCATTGGCAGCCGTTTCTTAGGATGTCACGCAACGCGTTTTTTTAGCGTATAAAGCGATATAATGTTTAGTCATATATCGTTGAAGAGGCAAGAAAAAAGAAATTACCTTTCACTTTGGGAAAGGTGCTTTATTCTGTTTATAGAAAGCGTCCTCATCATGGGAGGTACCCTCGGTGTGGTTCCTCGAGTGTAGAAAATATTGATGATTTTTTTTCCACGATTGCAAACTTAACTAAAACAGCCTGTTACAAAAAACCGAAACTTTCTTCAAACTGAGGAGGGCCGACCGAGGAGAACTTTTCACGGCTAACGGCTAAAGTTGTGGCCATTTTTCTGCTACGGTTAACCCAGACTAACACAAAATAACACATTGTAGGAGGGAAATATTTTTAAGGTCAATTTTTTTTCTACAACTAAGGGTTCAAATTTGTCAATATTTACGCCTAACAGCTAGTTTTTTGACCGATATACGGCTACCGGTTAACCCCATGGAGACCCTCGACTGGGTGACATGCAAGATGTGAAATAAAAACGGTTTTAGAAGGTGGCAACTCGAATATAGAGTGCTGGTTTTTAAGGAGTGAGGAAAACCGGGAAAAACAAGCCATGGAAAAATCTTGGAGGTAAGGATCAACCTGGTAGAGACGGTCATGGGGAGAGCGTTGTCGCTACGCATTCCTCTTATGTTCCAACTGAGATGCTTAATGAAATTAACGCGAGATATTCACCGATGTGGAGGCGAGCAAGGATAAATTTCCTTCCCCCTTTAAAGACCTTGTACCGGATCCGAAAAGTCAGTAAGCCCTGATATTTTGACTTCACCCCAGATCTAAAAAACTGCGACAACTTAGATGTTTTAGTAGGAGTTCGCTGCTGACGATAGCATATATTACAATCATTTACGAAAAAGAGCCATGGGGAGGGGGGAGGGGTGGGTCAAGGTTCCCTTTATCCACCCGGGCTGGGAGTGTGAATAGCTACGTGTTTTCAAGGGTAGCATCACAGGTGGGTTCTCAAGAATCTTAGAGCTACGATTTTAGAAGGTAAAGATAAGAATTTTCCTGAAGAATTGCTGGACTTAATAGGCTTCTTTCGTCTGCTTAGACTTTCTCTTCGTGCTCCATAGCCCTACTCCATCTAACCATCTTACATCTTACATCTTAGTGCTTTTTGCGTGGGCTGTTGGTTTGGTGTTTATCGCCTGCGCGTGTATCAACCCGGGAATCGACTTTCCAACTCTAGCTTGAAAAGAAACATTTACACTTATAGTGGTTTTTTAGCATATACCATATTGGTGAATAGAGCTCTTCACGTCGGCTGATTGGCTAATTCGGAATGAATAGTCGAACCTGTATTAAGCGGTTGGCTGTTAAATTCGCGAATTTTTTTTTTCCTGTTAAGCTCTGTCACTTTCACCGCTTTTCATCCTTGGTCATCCTTGACTTAGTCCCATCGGCCTGTTCGGGTTGTACGGAACGGTCACTTAGGGCGGAACCACTCGAATAAAACGACGAATTGTCTCTGAAGTAAAATTTATTCCATGTTTGTCTCCTAAAATAAATGTTAGTATTTAGAGTTCAAATGTCCTCAACGCATTGCAGATTATCTTTCTTCTTAAGACCATTGTATCTGACAAATATTATGCAAGAAAATTACGCAAATCATTTGCTGGGTAATTACCAAGAGGTCTAACTGTTAGAATTCTAATCTATTGTTCTGTTTTTACGCTGCATCATCATTTTGTTGAAGTTATTCGATACATTTTTGAGCGATTTTTTAAAATAAACTTAACATTAAAATGATAAATTATGGTTTAAAATGTTGTTTTCTTGTCTTTTGTTGTTAACCTGTATTAAATGGTGATAAAACTCAGTTACGGGTTAAAAACGGTTGCTCGATTGTACCGTCTTCGTAAATTTGCGAAATAAAACGGACACATTTAAGTATCTGGGTGTCGTTCTTGATTACACCCTTTCTTCAATGACCACCCGGACTATGTGAGGATGAAGGTATCTAAGATACTCGGAATGTTCTCTAGAATAAGACCTTCACTTACGCTAGAAGCTGCAAATAGACTCTATAAAGCCATGGTCCTCCCGGTTCTAGATTATTGTGATGCTGTGTGGCATGAATGTGGACAAGGAAACAGTGACAAGATTGAACGACTACAAAGACGAGCAGCGAGGATCGTCTACTTCAAAGCTGCCTCAAAACTATCAACTGATCAAATTATGACTAAACTGGGCTTGGAACCTCTCTATTATAGAAGACGGACACATATTTTAAGATTTGTTGATGAGTGCATTGCAAATAGAGTTCCCAGATACCTTTCTAATTATTTCAATGTAAGAAACCGTGACATTCACCGCCACAAAACTAGAAATAATAATGACCTTATTTTAGAAAAAAATTAATTTAGAATGCACCAAGCGCGCTTTTTTCTACAAAGGTGCAAAAATTTTTAATAATTTTCAATAATTCTTAGAATTTATAACTGTTCGATCTTTCGTTTAGTGAAACTATTTTGTAATGTTGTAATTTGATTTTTATCTATATTTTAAAACCTTTTTATTTTTATTTTTATATTTTTTAATTTTTTACAGGACCTGCATTGATAGCAGTTTTTTTTCTTTCTCAAAACTGAAGCAGCAATCCTGCATAAATATGTTTGTATTATTATTATTATTAATGAAATGGTTAGTTAAAAAACCAAAAAGACGAGTTCCCTGATGTCATTACCCTCTGGAGTGAAGGCCGGTATTTTTGCAAGTTCCCGCCGAGATTCCCATGGGACACTTGTTGGGATCTCTCTCGGGGTGCCAGTGAGGAGAGTTCTACCAGGGTGCCACTGGGATCCTCGCCCGGATAAAAACTAGCGAACAAAACTGAATGAAATCCAGTTTCGCTGGCAGTCCCACCAATCCAATATTTCACTCCCACCTCACTTTCCACTTCCGCTAATTTTTTTCCGAGAAAGATCAGAGGTCTGCACGATGTTGGAGTTCGCTAACTGTACCAAGCTGTTAGACAAGGGAGACTGAAATTGAAGCACACTCAGTTTTCATTGGTTGATTGGAAAATGGCAGATAGTTTAGCGAACAAAAACTTTGCAGGAGTATTTACAATGCTGTCGACATCGTCATGAAAGCACTTCAGTAAAAAATTAAAAAGTTAATACATGATAATGCAGGCAAAGGCAGGATCAAGCTGTCTGGCACAGACACCCCAGCTTTCAACCCACATTCCCCTCACTTTCAGTCATAAATTCAAGTGTGAAGTGAAAAAGAAAACTGCACTTTATTTCCAGAAAGTAAAAAAAATTTAAAAATTAAAAGAATTCCACATACAATTTCAAAAGAAATAACTAAACAAGTCCTACTCTTATTTAAGACACGGAACAGAACGAAAAGGAAGATCTGTAATTTTAGAAAGAGAGATTTTCAATTTGCAAAACAAGAATCCGTGAGAGGGTCCATTAGAAACCTCAAAAAAAAATCATTCACAACCGCAAAACCGCAAAAACAACAACAACAACAAAAATTCGTTAAAAACCGAAAACCGCATGCAAAACCGTCAAAACATATAAATGTTGACATTCCAGTTCTCAAAACCTTAATCGATCCGATACAGTGTTGACAGGTGGAGCACATAGAGGTTTCGCGGCTATTCGAGATCAGTAGAGGCGCATAATGACTGCTTGGATCGAAGAGAAACCGGAATGCAAGTAGGAAAATCCGAAAACCACATCAGAGATCAAATCCGAAACCCATTAGACAAGTGTTTTTGACGAAAACCGAAAACCAAATGCCAAAGAACAGAAAATCCGTCAACCGCAATGAACACGCAATCCGAACTGAACCGAAATTCTTTGGCAAAAAAACCGATCTTGAAAAAATATCGAAAATTGTAATGCCCCCCTTAAGGATGAAACAGTCAGTTCAGTCCACAAATCACACAAATGATGACACAACAACCATTATTATCGCTGAAACCTCCACGAAAACTTTTTTATTATTACTAGTTTTGAATCAGAAACATGCTGCAAAACAACTTTAATCACGCGATATTTTTCAGGGAAGGTGTCATGTCACGCAATCGAATTATTCATCGACTACGAACATCGATGCTTTACACCTTGTAAATTGCACAGCTGCAGCTTCACGGAATTTTATGTTTAATTATAGATTTGTATATTATGGCTAAATGGCACAGTCCTTCCTTTAAACACAGAAGAGGATTTGATATCTTTGCGAACGTAGTGAAGATTCAGCAAAGAATACTACAGAGATGTTCATATTTTTTTCTATAGAGTCATTTTATATTACATGAAATTGTTTTTGGAATGACAGCTTATACAATCTCAAATAACTGCAAATTTCATGTTGCGAGTTTGAATATCTTTTAATAAACAAACGATATACCTCAAGGAGAAGACAGCGCAACGAAAGAACCAAATCGCAGAACGAGCGGGCGCGAATCTAGAGCGCATTCATTCATGAAAATATCGACATTCACAACAGAGTACGTACCCCTGAGAAGTGTTCTCCGCGGATCTATTTGCCATTTTCAAAGCAATCTAGTGGGGAAACTGCAAGCGGTTCAACCTCCTTCGTCTGACAGCTCCTTTCATTTGGTTCCGTGAATTTGAATTAAATTGTGGTTATCCTTTCTCGGAAAATTAGCGGAAGAGAAATAGCAGGAGTCTGGAATCTAGCTAAGTTGGTGACCGCTGACTGAAGTACAGGAGAGTTTCAAAGATGGCGCGAAATGCCGGAGAGAGATGTGAATACATCACTATACTAAAATGGTTTGTTAGTCGATTTAGTTTTCAGCGGTAGTCTTTAAACCGGTGTAATAATTGTAAATACAAATTTTTCCACAGGATATTCGATCGTTCTTCAGCCCTGCTGGAAAGACAGCGAAGCAAGGCGCTTCGAAAGTAGAAATAAACGCGGGAAAGATTCTACAGCGAAGTCATCATCGAAACAAGATGTAGGAAATAGCCGAACGAAAACCAAGGTAAGTAATGGATAATGTAGTACTTGAGAGAGAAAGTTATTTGTGGTATCGGGGAATTTGACTTCAGAGATGACGGAGAAAAGATCTGCCCATATCACAGCCCTTGTCTGACTGAATCGATAATCATGAGTGTCTATAATTATACTCGGATGCAATTCACATTCCCATCTATCTTCTCCCGGGGAAGGGGACACCTTATTTCTCCAAAATTGGTATTTATTGCCATACGTGGCAAAATTTTCTTTGTCATGAATCTTTAATTTTGCACATGGTGGGTAATTTTACAAAATGTTTTAACCAAGAGTTTCATTCCACAACATATATCTAACCCAAGGTATATTTCTGGACTGGAATGTGAGAAATGGTATGGTACTGTGTGTTAACTAACTTTGTAGGTATAATTTTCGTTAGTATGTTGGAGTATGTCAGGGTAGCTGAGTGAGGCTGATAAGTTACAATGTTTTGCCTTTTTTCTTTTTTACCGTAACAGGATTGTGAAATGGAGCAATTTTGTATTCATCCTTTAACTTCTAAGATCTGTTTGCTAATTCTCTCCTCTAATTGCTACACATTTCCTTGTACATTTGTTATAGGAATTTGTTCTTAGATCAAGATAACTTTTTTCATCACCCTTTGTTTGACTTTGTATGTATAGTCTGGGGAGAAGTTACATGTTAATCACATCTGGGAGTTTAAGGGTTAAACAGCATGATGTGATACACTGCCACCTAAATTTCACTCAAGTTCAAAATATTTTGGACATTAGCATTCCCTAAAAATTTTTTCAAACTGCAGCTTACTAAGTTTGCAGAGCAGCTGCAGTATGTAATACTGATGCTTATTTTACGATTTTGACAAGTACTGGTTAATTTTCATTTATTTAGACTAAAGGGAAAATGAAATTGTTGATTAACTTGAAAGTGATTGAAAAAGAAACCTGGAGACTTCACCTACCCAAGACTGTTTTTTCCACAAGCCTGGTGTCTTTTTTTGATTTTCTGAGGTTGAAGGAAATGTTTTGTAAGAAAGTTGTGCTGCAAGGGACAACACCCCCCTTGATGTTATCCAATTCTGTTTGGTCTTTGTTGTTATTATCAGGTCCAAAGAACCATAATAATCTCACATTTTTGTGAATATGTTATTGTTTATTTGCTGGGCAGGGTTTATCAAGTAGTGAAGATAATGACATTGCCCAGAAACAAAAACCAAAAGAAAATCAGAAGAGGAAGAAGAAAGGAAAAAAACTTTTTGACTCAGGTAATGTTTTAGGATGAACATGAACAGTTCCAAAAGGAACAGATGTTGAGACTCTACACAAACTGTTATACCTCTGTTTTTGTTTTAATGGTTTCGATGTGCATGTAAGCGAGGTAGTTGTGTTTTACAGCGTCCTTGTCAATTCTGAGTGCAATTTGCATTATTACAAAAACGTGGTGTAAAAAGATTCACATAATGATGTGTACAGCATCACAATGATGTCCTGACCCTATTTCCAAATCAATCTTACATCTCTGTTAGATTCTGATGAAGATCCTCTTCCTCTAAAAATCAGGTATGTCAATCTTGTTCCATTTTATACAGTTGTAATTGACCTCTTTGACCCTAATATCACCCCTGAATCAAGAGTCAAGGAAATGATCACCAACTATAGAAACTCTTGATTATTAAACAAATTCTCCTTGTCAGCAGCTTAGAAAATGCATAGAGAACAGTATGGAGAATATGCATACTGATGTCAGGTTGTATTCAGTACCTGGTTCTCTTTCATGCACTTTCAGAAAATCCACATCAGTAAAGAAGGAGGAGATTTCAAAAGCTAAGAAAAGTAGAAGAGCAATCAGCTTGGACTCAGGTAAGGAAGTTATATGTCTACTTATTGAGGGTACCCTATACTTTTAGGTGAAAGGTGATTGGGAGATTTTATCTTTACGGGAGTCATGATTTTATCTTTTATTTATTTTTGTTATTTTTTAATTTTTTATAGGATTAACAGCGTTATTAACAGGTTAGAAAGAGTGAAAATATGAATTTGGTTTAATGTTTTAATTTTTTGGTTTTATTTATCTTCAAAACGTGATGGTCTTGAATTTCATGTGAATGTGAGAGAATTTTGGATATTTTTCACAGTGCATGAAAAGGCTAAATATTTTTATGCGACTGAGTTCTACAAAAGGGTTTAGGGGACTCTTCTTATTGATGAAGTGGGACTGGGAGGGCTGCATACGGAGATATTTACTGTGAGGTGAGCTTGAGGTAAGATGAGGTTGGGTTTTTTTTACATCATGTGACCTTTAACCTTGTTCATATATTAGGTTACCAAAGAAAACAAAGCCATCCACTTCATCTAGGCTTGGGCACATTTACCATTAGACCACTCTGCCATGAATAGGATTTTAATATTATAGCACTTGAGTTATATTTTGATGTTGTTTCTACAGATGAGGAAGAAGTTGTGCCCAGGAAATTAAAATAGTCTGCTAAACAGACAGAAAATACAGCTTCTAAAGAGGTCCAGCAGGTTAAGGAGAGGTAACATCCATCATTCTCTTTCATTGTGTTTGATATTTTAGTACCAAACCATGGTGTTCATCTAGAACATAAGATATTGCTCTGGAGAATCATCTACATGTAACTTCTTCTAAAATTATCCAGCTAAATTTTGTTTGTTTGTTTGTTTTTTCCTCTCTTCCATCAGGCATTGAGAATGTTAGATCTGTCATAGGACACTGCTCTTATGCTGATACATTTAACCCTTTGACCCCTAACAGTGACCAGCATCTAATTTCTCCTTACAATATCATCCCTGAATCAAACATTAAAGGGCATGTAAACCCAAAAAACGTTCATTTTCTTTTCACATAGATGTTTAGTAAATATATCAAGTACACCAAATGTACCATTCGTTTATTCTCAAAAGTCCATTTTCACTTTGTAAAAGCTCTTCCAAATTCGAAACATTCGCCATCTTGAATGGTGCCATCTTTCCTATGACGTTACGGGTGGACCCTCCAAAGTCTCGTTTTATAATCGCGTGAGACACGAAGGAGTCTTTTCCACAGCCGTTGTTTGCTGGTCTCGTCATGATTTTTTTACTTACATTTTGCTTCAATATATTCAATTTTTTCGTAATGGTAAAGCGTTGTGTCGTCCAGTTTTGTACTGATTCAAACAAAACTGGGCATACAATGCAAATATTTCCAAATGACGCAAATTTGAAGCGACAATTTGTGAAATTTGTTCAAGTGAAAATAGCCGATTTCGTCGAGCCGTTCGAACGTTCTGTTGTTTGTAGCAGTCATTTTTCTTCCTGGTGCTGTACCGACGATTCAGGCCTCACCAGAAGCAAATTATTCGGAAGTATAAAAACGACCCATACAGTCGGCAGACGACGAGGATTCGAAAGAGGCCGACCGAACTGAGAAAGAAGTTGAGCTCTTCAAAAGTTAGAGGTCAACAGAGAAAGTACAAAATCGATTTACATGAAAACGTTTCGTTAATTAAACAACAAAAGCTATTGGTTCTCTAAAAACATCTTTTTTCTCATCTAATGAAAGATTATGGGGAAGCCAGTTGTTCGGGAGCCAGCGCTGAGCCCGTAAAAGACACTGACATGTCTGAACCTTCGCCTGAATTAGAAACACGTATCAAAGAAAGAGAATTCGTTGATATCAGTGTGTAATAACGTGATCTGGAATTTTGTCGGTTCGATACAAAGAATTCTATACAGGATCCCATAATCAACCCTTGTGTTCTACAAGAAAATCCATGCCAGCCCCACTTGGTGCTTCCTTTGAGAAACCCTGCAGAGAAACAGCACAAGAATTTGTGTCACGGTTTTCACAGCAGTGAAAATACATTCAAAGGTCAGTAGGACAAAATTCATCATTTTGAGTACAACTTAAAAGATCCTGATTTCAGCTTGCAAAACTATCTTTTCAATATTTCAAATCGAAGCAAACACAAACAGGGTTGGATAATTATGAAGGCCACACAAGGAAATGTACATGATACAACTTGTTTATCGATGGAAATGCTTCTGAGATTAAGGATATTGTTTACCGCACAAGATAGCATAGCGACCCTAAAGTGTTTGCCGAGATATCCCCAACACCAACGAACAAGCTATCTGTAGGCAATTTAGCGAAATTTCCTGCCAGGAAAGAAGCGAAAAACAACTAGCTCTAGTACTGTATTATTAAATCAATGGCAGAAACAACTCAAGTAAATCGATCTCAAAATGTAACAAAACAGATTAAACAGAAAATATTTAGCTTAGTCGTTTCCGGTGTGATTATCTGTGCTTTGCTGCTGCCTGTACGCGTAATTGGCCGTCTCCAGCACCCAGAAATAAGGCAAATTGACGGAAAACCTGGATGCTCAGTGATACAACTTATCTGGGTTTCAGGCCATTTTGCCACAATTGCCCGATTTCCGTACAACGAACACTTTCATGAGTTGACGGCATTGGTTGACAAGTTCCACACTCGCACCTTTGATAATTTTATATAAAACACCCTCAGAAGCTCAAGTTTAAAAAAATTCTGTTGCATTCCTTTAGATTGTACCCTCGCTTTATTGCATTTTCATGTTAAATACAAATAAATCACAAAGTAAATTAAATACCAGTCTGAGTTTCCGAGACGGTCGCATCGCTGTCGACATGTTCTGTACTGTCTTCGTGCGGATCGCTTCGGTGAACCCTACGCGGCTCATATTGTTAAGGACGTGGCCCAGACTCTCCTGAAGATTCTGAATTATCCCCAGCGCTTTCATGTACTAAGCTTAAGGCATTCGAGTCTCTATCTTCTGAAAAAACATCATCAGAACTACCGCTACTTACACGAACTCCCACACCAGTTCTACTGGGGAATATGTGTTGCGCAATATTTTGGTTCCACCGCTTACGTCACGAGTTCTCGCTATTGTTTTTACCGGAAATGGAATTTCAGTTGAAAATGCCGATTTTCTCCTAAAATAAGTCGAATTGGACAAAACTAATTTCAAATTCGTTTTCTACGCCACTTTTTACATAGTATAAGAAAAACATGTATTTTTGGGTTTACATGCCCTTTAAGGTCATGAGAGTAAAGGAAATGATCACCAACTAAGCTCTTGATTGTTAAACAAATTCTCCTTGTCAGCACCTTAGGAAATGTATAGAGAACAGTATGGAGAATATGCATACTGAGTTTCAAGTGTTAAGGGTTGAAAACAAAAAAAGAAACAAACAACAGCAACATAATAATGTTACATAGTCATCAAGGGTGAATTTTTTGTTGTGTTACTGAAATATTTAACACATGGATTGTTATTCTTGCTTCAGTCCAGTCAAATCTAAAGAGAAAAAGCAACTTCTGCTTTTGATTTCTTTGGTTCTACTCCAGTTGAAAGGGAATCCAGGAAAACATTTGCCAATAAGAGAAAACAGGTGAATATCTAACTTGATTTGTTTCACCCACATTTTTTAAAGCAAAAATCAGGCATCCTGTGTAATTTTCAAACAGTTCTTCATGCATTATGCATTGAACAGGGAAAACTTTAAACCTCACTATACCTTGCCTTTCTATAAAATTCATGCATAACATGTTAATTTTTGGGCATAATCATGCATCCCTTGTAAAACCCTCTGCCAATCTGTTATAGTTATATCAGGATGGTCTACAGTGAACACATACCATGTCACAAAATCAATGGGTACCAGTAGTGACCAATTGAGGAATAGTTTTGGCAGAAACAACACCATGGGCTGCCTTAAAGGAACAAGTCCTTTCACCTCCAAGATATTAAAATCAATTCTCTTCACTGTCTGTCACACAAGTGTTATAAAAATATCTTTGAGAATATGGTGTTCAATCAAGTGATATCCTCTTGTCTGATGATTTTCTTTCTTCTCATCACATTGCTGCTCAGTTGACTGTGAATTGGTATTATTGTGAGAAATTAGAAAATTGATCACTCTTAAGAGTGCAAATTTTAAGCTTGATCCAGAGCTCAACCTACTTAATGATCATCCCTTAATTCCTTGTAGAACCATAAATAAATTTTTATCCTTTTTCATTTCCCACAGAGATCTGACAAGTCTGAAGAAAATGAAGAAGAGTTTGAGAATGGGAGAGAAAAATAAGGAAGAGAAAATGGGAATGTCAACCATCACACAACAGAGCAACCATCAAAGAAAAGAGAGGAAGTCCTCCCAGAATCAAAGTCTGAGGTTAAAAAGCCCTTCCCTGAGAAGAAAAAGGTTTGTAAGCCTTTTGATTACCATACTTTATTGTTGCAAAATTAATCATTACTATCAATGCTTAAAACCTGCTACCCTGATACCCTGTACTAGAATGCATTGGATCTGATATGATTTCATGTAAATAAGGTACTTGTAGATGAAACAGTAACATTTTATGACTAAATTTGGCTTTGTGTAAGATCCAAAATTTTACTCAATTTGTTAACTGGTGGTACATGTTGTACATGTTGCATATACATTAACCTGTCCTACAATGACAGTAAATGGTTTTTACTCAGATGCACATTGCTAACAATATTTGCAACAAAACATTACTTACAATACTAACACTACTCAAAATACTACCATTACTGTACCTAGAATTTATACTAAAAACAGTAACAATAGTGACAAAACTTTCAGTTAAATTTTTGGGGATTTTAACTTTGATAATCTGGGAAGATGTCACCACTTTGTCTCCATTTTTCAAAGCAGCAGTGTCTTTCACTATCAACATTCCTAATTGGGTCAACTCTTACCTCATGAGGACAACTCTCAGCTGTTAGAATGTTTGATACACATGCAATTTTTGTTCCCTTCAAATTTTATCCATGGACTTTTCAGGAAGTACCAAAGACAACTCCTGCTCGCAAACTGGCTGCCAAAGCTGCCATAGTTCCAGAAACTTCAGCTCAAGGCTCAAAACCAAGTCCAAAGAAGATTGTTACTCCAAAAAAGGATAATAAAGATGTTGGTATTAGGAAACTCCAATCAAAGGAACACCAAAGGTGTCAAAATCAGAGAAAGTGGTTGAAATTCCACCCTCACTGGAAAAGAAAAAATCTAGCTACCGTAGTTTTGTGGCGAGAGATGGTCCTAGGGCACTTGGTTCAAAGGAAATCCCTCAGGTAGGTTTCAAAGTCCAAGATCTGATTGTTAATTCTCCCCTTCTGCTGCTGTACATTTTCCTGTAAATTAATAACAAGAATTTGTTGTTAGATCATAATGACAACTGATAAGTTTTTGTGTTCTCATGAACTGTTTGCTGGATAATGTGTTGGATATTCTAGGGAGAAGTTACATGTTAATTTCTTCTGGTGGTTTAATTATTGTTATCTCTCAAAGCTCTTAACGGTTTGTTTCCCATCCTTTCAAATTTTAATAAGAGATGCAAGACAAATATCTACTGAGTTTTTTACTTTTTGCCACATAACTTTTCAGTTTGGACAGTATTAATAATAATAATAATAATTAAGAGGCCTTTTAAGGGAGGAATTAATTATTTTTCTGCACATCTTGAATCATGCATGCACTTGATTTAATTTTAGGAAGCAGAAAACTGTTTGGGTGGACTGACATTTGTTATTATGGGAATACTTGAAAGTATTGAGAGAGAGGAGGCTGCTGATTTGATTCAAAGATGTGGTGGAAAAGTTACCCAATCAGTGAACAAGAAAACAAGTTATGTCGTTGTGGGATGAAATACTGGGGAGAGTAAACTTTCTAAGGTACATTGTAATGCACAGCTCAAAACAGCAAGAAAAAGAAGAAGCACTGTGAAAACCAACATATAAGCTGCACCTTTTTCCCTAAATTTCTGTAACAAATCCAGGGTGTGGCTCACTGCAAAAAAACCTGGGAAACTTGCCACAAATTTGAATAAATTAACACAATTCATTGACAGTTTGCAAGTCTGTATAACAAACTAACAAGAACTAAAGAAGTTACCAGGCTAGAAATTAATTCTTTTTTTGCCAGGTTGTTGGCTTCTAAAAGAGTTTTTTTTTCATAAGCATAAGCCTATATTAAATATATTCTGTAGAACACGGCCCTCCTTTGGAACCACGCGAACAACCACAGCCACTGCGCAGAAATTTTTTCACTTTTTCGATTATTTCGTTCGGAGTTTCCTCTCTTTCTATCATATCAAAGTCTGCCATGGCTTGTTTGTCACTTTCGTGAAATACGCGCGTGCAAAAGCATTTGTTGTTGTGACGCGTGCTTTGCTTTATGAAGGAGGACCTATTGTGAAAAAGCAATTTATGAGTGACCCACAGAATTAGCGAGCTTTATTTGAAACATGTGAAGGAAACCGAGGAGGGAGGTAATTTTGCGTCGATTTGTTCCCCTAGACGTATCTGAATAAAAGTTATATCAGTGTTTACGGAATAGTTCGTAGAATGAAGCGATTAGCTTCATTTTAACCGCGCGACAGATAGCAGAGGCAAAACGCGAGTCCGCGGTATATCAAATCTCCACAAAAGAAACAATTAAAGAAATACTACAGCTTGTGTGACAAAAGGTCGATGGCGAAAAAAATCACAACTCGGGTCGCAGTTGGTGTACTTTACTGTAATTAAGTAATTAGTGGAAAACTGCTTAACACGGGTTCCTCCGGACGTATCTGAATAAAATTTATATGAATGTTTACAGAATAGTCCGTAGTATAAAGCGATTAGCTTTTTTTTAAGCGCGCTACGTAAAGCAGAGGGTAAATGCGAGTCCGCGGCATATCAAATCTCCACAAAAGAAACAATAAAAATTCTACAGCTAGTGTGACAAAAGATCAGTGACGGAAAAAAAAATCGCAAGTCAAATCGCTGTGGGTGTACCCTACCGTAATTAAAGCAAGAGAATTGTGAATTGACGCATTCATACGCAAATGATCAAATCATTGAAAATCCGTCTATTCAATTTGCTGTGTATAAAAGGGTGTTCACTATATTACGGCCTTCAACAAGCGAAACGGTTTTATCTTAGTCTACGCACGTGTCGCAAACTCGGTAAACATGTCTCTCAGGCAACTGTGCAAAGAAACTAGTAAACGGCCGTCAAAAGTGTTACTGTATTTTCCACAAGAAAGGACTACTGGTATCGCCCCTTCAAGGTTGATTTTGGGTAAAAGCTTCGAATACAAAGAAGGGAGCATGGTGACAGTCAACTGGGAGGGCAAGAAGATACAAGCAGAGATTATAGCTGTGGGTGGTAAGTCTTACAACCTTTCCTTCTGATAATTCTTCGCTAGACAAATAAAGATTCTGTTCAGTCATTTTTTTCATGGGCTCTTCACACATCTGCATTTATTACTGCGCGAACTTACCCTCATTGTGTCCTTGGTTACAGATAACGAAGAGATTCTCAATCAAAAAGACATTGAGTGGTCATCCAAGTTCATTTCTGCAACTGAACCCGATCCAATTTCCAATCAGTCCAAACTACCAGTCGAAAAACAGGAAGAAAGCCAGCAGCCACGGAAAACTCGAGTCAATTCAAGTATTCATAAGGTTGGTCGTGTTGATTTCGGAAAAAAAAATTCCACTTGTTAACGACACCATGTAATTTTCTATTAAGTAATAGAGAACTTGGGCTGAATCAAATCGAATTATATTTCACGCATAGAATTGATTTGAGCTGTGTAAGGAGTTATAGTCGTTTCATCAACGTTCAGTTCGCAGACTACTTTACACGTACTTTAAACTGTTACGTAAGCTTAAAGTGGTACGTAATAAAACTTGAGTGCGAGACGGTTACATTCTCAACAGAAGATTCAGAACGTAACAAGTGCATGCAGAAATTTGTACTGAATTGAAATTTAACATTATACCGGTTATGTTTGTGAGGCATTCATGACAGTTGAAATTACTCCTTCCGAGGTTGATTGTAGTCCGAGTCAATTGTATGAATCTGAGTCGTCATAAAATGCCTACGATGTTTTCTTTTTCGGGGGTCTTACATTTGGTATTTCGTTGTGTTTATGAAGATGCTTTTATTCCCAGGAAAGTTCAGTGACTTATGGGGATCCATATAGTGCGTTTCTGGCTGAGCAGAAAAAGAGAGAGGTTGAATGGGCTACTAATCGAGTCAAAAAGAAAGCGAAATGCACGGCGACCACAGAAAAAGATTTGGAGGCCGTAAACCAGCAGTTAGCCGCTAAGGAGGCTGAATGTAAAACCCTGAAGGGACAACTCGACAACATTCAGCTTGCCAGTGTCTCTGTTGTGGAAGCTGTGCATAACAAAGTACAGGAAGGCGTCTGCAAGGTAAGCACATTGATCAATGTTAACCTGAATTTTCAAAAATGGATGGAGAAACATTGCAAGAATACCATTGTCTCATTTTCTACTTTAAAGATGTCAATATAACTGAGGTTATGATTGCGAATTGCATGTAAGTGTTATTTTGATAGGTTCTTCCAATTTTCCTTATCACACCAAAATTTTAGAATTATTTTTAACAGGTGGCGAGTAAGCAGGCTTAAGTGTTGGTATCTTATAAGTACCTATGGAACTAACGCAAATTACATTTCTACAGATGATGGAGACATTACAGGACACACTGTCTGCAATGGAGGATAACATGTCCCTTCGACTAAACAAGATTGAGCAACGTCTGGATTCGTTAGAGAAAGTGGTAAGAAGTTGCTTTTTTTTATATAATTTGCGTAAGCTTTTCGTAAAATGGACTTGTTAGGAAAACCGCACTAGGATACTGAGCATCTTTGAACCGGAACCGGAAATAGATTCTGTTTAGTGACGTTGGTCCGAAACTAACGAGTGAATATCCCTACTTTCTAGTTCAGTGATCCAGGAGTAAATTGTGGTCCAGTTCCTCAGACCGGTAACTTGCAAACCATCGACCACGAGGCTTTTTGGCATTCCTCAGCGATGATCCGATGGAAGTGTTCGAACCAGTGCCTTCAACTCCACTAGCACCAACTACTCCGCAAACACCGGCACTCCAGCCATCAACCCTCGAGGACGACATAGTCGGTGAAGACGTCATACGATCGTTGGTGACGCCCAGCAAATCGAAAGGGGTGCGAGACGTCTTGGAAAAGGAAAAAGAGAGGCACCGGTGCGCTCTTTCTTCTATAACTCGGAAGAGCTGAGTAACAGCAACACTGACGGCACCCACAATAAACAGCAACTAGATGTTACAAAACTTCAGGCGTTGAAGGTGCTAGTGTTTAGCCGTTTCCAATTGAAGCTGCCACGGAGAAAGAAAAAGTGTGGAAATCCATCAAAAGTAAAATTAACTCGAAGTGTCGCCTTAGCAAACATGCACATAAGCTTGCTCGTTCCTCGTAATGTAAATAAAGTTGAACTGACCTCATGTTGTCTAGCATATATCGGGGTGTGTTTCAGCCGCAGTGAGCTGGGTTGGTATATTTCGCAGACCCCCAGTCGATGGACTGCTAAATCGGCTAATCTCTTTCTGTTTATATCATCTTGATTCATCTTTCTTGGTTTTATTGACAATCATTTTAATGGCCCCGCTTGGTGCGTGACACCGATTCGACCTTTTATTTGCAATGGAACTTCATTGCGTTATTTGACCTTGAAACGTCTCGGCTTCAGACAAGGTGGCGGCATTGCATATGCAACTTTGTTTCGCGAAACTTCCGAACAGGAACAATGAAGTTCATTTTCAATACTAATAAGAATAAACAAAGGAGAAGATTATGAGTTTCTCGCGGTAGCCGTTCAGGATATTATTCTCAGTAAATTGCGCTTATTTCATGAATGTCAGACGAAAACGGCAGTAATTAACCCAGAAATAAAATGCGCAAGTATATGCTAGTTATTACTTTTCAAATTATCATGCTCAATATTTTCGCTTTAAAGGATAATTATCCGTTGTCACTCTGAAAGTTTTTTCGCAGAAGATCTCGCCGGCTCAACCACAGCCGTTAAACATTAATTTTTAGCTCATCTTTTGTCGATTTTGGTCAACCGTTTCTCGGTTTAAGCTATCCGTTTTTGGATTTTGGTCAACTGTTTAACGTTTCGGGCTGACCGTTTTTATTTTTGGTCAACCGTTTAACAGTGTGAGCCATCCGTTTTTGAACTTTGGTCAACCGTTTAACGTTTCGTGCTATCCGTTTTTATTTTTGGTCAACCGTTTGAAGGTCTAAGCTATCCGTTTTTGGACTTTGGTCAACCATTTAAATTTTTTGCCATCCGTTGAAGCGGTTATGGCATCCGTTTAAACGCTCGAGTTAGCCGTTTACTATCCGTTTACAACCGTTTTTCGAGACCGTTTAACGGAAAAGCTTTAGTGTCCGTTTTCCCATGGAGGGTCACATTTCTTTCAGTGGAGGGCATCAAATGTTTCTTTGTTGAGAGACTTTTTAACTGGTTTAAGGTCATATTTGCTTCCTTGAGCAGCTAAACATCACTTGACAAGAAACCTATGGTTTCTTTGTTGTTGTTTTTTTGACCTGAGTGCTTATCTGTTAAGTTAAGCAATGTGGAACATCACAAATAGATGAAAACGGTCTGTTTGAGCTTGTCAGAACAAAACCAGGCAATAAGACCAGCTATGAACCACCAAGGGAAGAAGGAGAAAGCTGAACCAGTGGAGTCCCTCAGCCAGGGAAAAGATCAGTTTGAAGGTGATTTGTCACAACTGAGTGAAAGATCTGTGTCATCTCCAACAACACAAACACCATCATCATCACCTGCACTGAAAGGTGGGTGTTTCAAACCTTTCCATCAATTAGCAAAAGAGCATGAACTCACAGAAAATGTAATTCACACTTCAGCTGTATGCCTTAAATTTCCTCACCAGTGAGTATCCTACACGTATTGTGCAGTGATCATACTTTGTGCATCCAGGTGCATGACTTTGTATAAGTTACTGATGACATAAATACATGTAAATAACAATGAAATTTCGTAGGAGCCATAGGCTAGTGTGCTGCTGATACCATAATTTGTTAATCCTCATTTAACTTCTTCCATCTACTTGTATCTATCTATGGGTTTGTCCATTTTTCCATCCTGTCATCTGTCTAGCAGTCTGTCTGTCTGTCCATCTAAAGGGGGTAAGGTTTTTAAGAAACTGTGGTGCTGCATTGGTGGGGAGTTTAACAAGATAATGTGTTTTTATCAACTGAGTTAATAATTTAGATTGGCCTTCCTAATTACTTTCCAAAGCTAAAGTTTCAAGCATTAGCCATCCACTCTGAGGAAGGGCTTAAGCTTGAAACATCAGCATTAGAAACTCTTTTTGGTGGCAAATTTACAGTATCACTCAGTTTGTCTGTCTGTCTGTCTGTCTGTCTGCTCTTTTGTGTGTGTACATTTATCCAATTACTGTCTTTCTATCTGTCACTCACTCTGCTCTTTCCTTCTGTCTATTCACCATTCACACCTCAGTTTTACCACTACCCTAAAGTCCACCTTTGAGTTCATCTGTTGGTTCATGTATCTGTTCTTCCACCTGTAGACTTGTTTGTGTCACTTAAACTGAGTTACAAGACAGTATAGTTTTTGTTTAATCCTTTACACCCTAACATCAGTGTGCATATTCTCCATACTGTTCTTTATGCATTTCCTAATGTGCTGGCAAGGAGAATTTGTTGAACAATGAAGAGGTTCTTCAGTTGATGATCATTTGCTGTATTCTCATAACCTAAATGTTTGATTCAGGGCTGATATTGAAAGGAGAAATTAGATGTTAGTCAGTCTCAGGGATTAAAGGGTTCATCTACATAAGATTTTGACAGTAAAGGTCATTTTGTTTTTGTGCAGGAGAACCAAGTGTGTTATTGGTAGACAAATATCGGCTTCGCGCAGTGAAGCAGATTATTGGTCAGCATGGTGATAAGAGCAACACGAGAAAGCTGATGAAGTGGCAGAGAGACTGGGGAAAAAGATTGAAAGAACTCAGCCTCTAAATGTGAGTACAAGTGTAATTGATTGTCAAAATGCTTTTCCCTCACGAGTGATTTTAAAAAACGGACGACCGCGAAGCGGGAGTCCGATTTGTTATTTACTAGTTAATCTACTCTTAATCAAAACTATAACAAAATTCTCGAACGCGATTGGTTATCACCAGCCCGATTTGAGCACGAATGGGACAGTGTACGCGTCATGCTTGTAATTGGACAGTGTAATAGGACAGTTAAAGGGACAGTTAACACGTCATACCTTTGTTAGTGGACAGAACGCGTCATGACCGCGCGCTGTTATATCGCATTTCGCCGAGTTAACTGTTGATATTTTTATGAAAACGTACGACCGATGTCTAGTTTCTTTCTCAAATTTTGAGAAAGCTCATTGCTCATAGCTTCTTTCTCATAGCTTTGATTAATTGGTAACAGGACTTCGTGTCATCAAATTCTGTCTGTAATCATACTGGGGATTAAGAAATCGGACTCCCGCTTCGCGGGCGTCCGATATTGTTAATCACTCGTATGATTACAGACCGAATTGGACTCCACTCGGTCCTATTACCATTATTTATCAAACAGAATTGGACGACACGAAGTTCTTTTACCAATTGTAAAAACTACAATTAAATGAGATACAACAGCGCGCGCTCATGACGCGTTCTGTCCACTAACAAAGGCATGACGTGTTAACTGTCGCTTTAACTGCCCTATTACACTGTCCAATTACAAACATGTCGCGTACACTGTCCTATTAGTGCTCAAATCGGGCTGGTGATAACCAATCACGTTCGAGAATTATGTTATAGTTTAGATTAGGGTTGTAATCGGATATGGGAGAGTGGAACCTTGTCTAGAGGGGGGTAGCAATTCTCCTAGTCACCTGATGCTACTGAAATTAACTTAAGCATAGGCAAGGTTAGACCTGTAGCTCTTGTGCTGACTTTACCTCACATGAGTAACCAAGACAGGATTTCTCCTTACAATATCAATACAATATCAATTAGACAAGTTGCGAGAATATTTGTTTTGGATATTTTTTCGATTGGGCAAACCAAAAAATTCACTACCATTTGTATTCCAACAGACTGAAATTTCTCAATTTTCGAGAATTCCACGTTATTCAGTCGAACAAAGAGAAAGGAGAGGAAGGACGCGCTCAAGCTCTGAGAGATCTCATGGCCACAAAATATCAGCTCGGAGATTCTTCAACACACGGCGCATCGTGCGTTTCTCTGAGGTGGGTTTCATTGGGCACAGTTTTTATAGCTATTAATGGACCATGTGTTTACTTCTGGGTTTGCCTCGGTGAAGATAATATCCAGATGAGAGAGGTACACGTCAATAATTACAAGTGTGAGGATGAATTGGAATTTTTCATCCAGCTACTGAACAAAACTGCTCTTCAGGAGATCGGTGCAAGAGATAATGTTACGATCGAAACTCGTGCGCATAATTCGCCGACAGAAGAGGAAGTGGCTAATGATGTTATCCGAGTTGATTTGAGGCACTCCCAATCAAGTGCTTTAAAGAAGCTGCATGACATCATCGTTACTCCTATTGCTGATCCGATCGAAGGCAACGAGCTAACATTCCTTCCTGAGGGGCCATTTTGCCTTATACCTTTTTCAGCGTTGCAGGACTCGGACTCATCGTATGTAAGTGATTCTTTCAGAATTTGTATGCTTCCCTCTCTGACGACGTTGCAACTAATTCATGATTGTCCAGCTCACTTTCTCATGAAGACTGGTGCATTGCTTGTTGGCAACCCATGTTTCATAGGTATCATCTATCAGGGAAGACGTTTGGTGCAACTTCCAGGAGCAAGGAAAGAAGTGGATATGATCGGACGTATCCTTAATGTTTCCCCCCCTCACTGGAGAAATGTACTCATTGGTGACGACGTCAACCTGGATTTCAAGGATATTAAGAGGCTGAAGCGAGGAAATATTCTGTTTATACCTTCTATTCAATACAAAGTTACCTTAAATCATAATTGCTTATGTATGAGCACTGATACTTGCGTGTTATTTTCCTTTCATTTGGGTTACGAATTTGATGATGCAGCACAATCATGTGGACACGTTTACGATGATAACATTCTCGTTTGGAAACATGATAGGAGTAGAATAGCAAATTTCTTTTAAAACAACCCTGTTGTGCAATG